ACATCCAGATGCCAGATTAGCATCTTCAGATGAAGAATTTCACAAAAAATTAGGAGTAATGCTGAAAGATACACCATTATGTAATGATGAAATCATAGCAAAATACTTTATAGACTCTAAAGTATATCTTCCTAAACAAAGCGAGAAAGCTAAAGAAAAAGAAATGACAATGTCTAAATCATCTCAATCAACAAAAACAGCATCAGAAAGAGAACCTGAAGAGGAACCTGAGAAAGAAAAACCCAAAATAAAGATATTAGGTATCCCAACTGATAATACTTCCACGAAAAGAGAAAAAAGAAATTCCCATAGAAATAGGAGAATCTTCAAAAACTCAAGAAAGTAAAAGACAAATAACACCAACTGTTCGTTCGTCAACACTTTCAGCCTTGTTTGAAAATGACCAAACAATACATACGTCTATGGAAAATCCAATATTTGGAGCTTTATATACTAAGAAACGTAAATATATTTGGAAATCAAATTGTATTTCGATATTCCAATAATAACACAATTAGGAAAGAGATAGTCATATTATTTGGTAATAAAAAGAGAATAATATTCTTCTTGCCAAATAATCCAAAATCACAAATTACTAATTTAGTAAAGGAATACATGCCACCTGGTATTTATTGCCCTCATTCCCTAAATAAATCTTTAGAACCTATTGTGATACGAGCATTACAAGAATCGTTTAATTCGAATTCATTTACTTTGTACATCTCGAACTCTTTATTAGAAGATATAACAGACGTTGATCTTCAACAAGAGAAAATTCAGCAATATCATGAGACTAAAACCTCTCATAGAGGAATCACTGAAAATATTGCAGCCTTAAAGAAAAGATTCTATTGGCCCAATATCGAGAAAGACGTACAGAATTATGTCAAAGTATGCGAGATATGCAATAAAACCAAGTATGAACGTCAACCATACAAAATCATATTCAAACCAACACCCATTGGTACGAAACCTTTTGAACATATTTATATTGACACGTATATAATCAATAACCAAAAGTTTCTGACCATTATTGATAGCTTTTCAAAATTTGGTCAAGCCTCTCCTGTAAATACTAAAACAGCTGTAGAAACATAATCACAGGTATTGAAATATTTTAGTGATCATGGAATACCTCAAAAAATCACATCAGATAATGGCGCAGAGTTCAAAAATGCTATAATGACAGATTTTTGTACATTATCACATTATACAACATTGAGTTTCATTAGACAACTCCAAGAAACCCGAACTCGAATAGTCCAATCGAAAGATTCCATTCGACACTACGTGAAAGTATAACGAGTTTAAAACTTCAAAACCCGAATAAGAGTTGAATTATGCCATACCAATTGAACAAACAGAAAATAAACTAACAACTAACTATATAACAAGTTTGGCAGAATCCCTTGCAAATTTGAATAAAGAAATTCAAGAAAAATTATCAGCGAAACAAACAAAGTCTTTAGAATCACGCAATAAAAATAAGACAATCTAATAGAGACAAGATAAGTCCGCGTTATGATAGTAAAACACAGAATCGCTTTGCTAAACAAAATGTTAAACGACAATAATTTATTTCAGGTACCCCGAGATGAATCTTTTAGTATTCCTTACTCTCGTTGGAGTCACCCAAGCGTATACATAGAAAATCCTATTTTACCAATTTCTTTAGGAACTACGTACGTAACAACTCAACATAACACGGCCTATTATCACATAAACACGACAATTATCATACAAGTATCCATAAACTGAAAATAACCTTAATGAAATTATCTGACACTCTAAACAAAACAATATGGTCAAACCAATTTGTTGCACTCTTTCAAACAAATATTGAAAACAGTCATTCCCAAATTAAGATTATGAAACAAGTCATAAAAACCTATCAAGCCCGAAAACGAAATAAAAGAGGTCTATTAAATTTCATGGGCACAGCACAAAAATGGCTCTACGGAACGCTAGATGCTGAAGACGGCGCAAGATATGATTCTTATATCCAGACGCTCAATGATAATCAAAAGACTCTCAATGAAGATCTAAAAACACAAGCTCGAGTATTGAAACAAGTTACAAAAACATTTCACGATCAATTTCTTACTATTGAATCTAACCAAAAGGTTATCATAGGAAAATTACAGAATATTGCCTTGGAAAACCAAAATTTCCACTCAATGTTAACCTTCAATCTAATATTGAACAATATCAATATCCGAAGTAATAAAATAAGGAATCTAATTGATTATGTGCAATTAGCAATAAATTTTGCACAATTGGGAATAATGCATTATACTATTTTACAGCATAATGAATTAAATCAAATATTAACACATATAAGTACCTAAAAGTCAGCAAATAACTTTTGATAATAAAATCAAGTAGGTATTACGAGACAATGAAAATTCAAGTAAAAATCCAAAATGAGTCAATTATGTTTGTTATACTCACACCAATGATTGATCTCAAGCCCTTTATATTGTATAAAATCTATCCAATTCCTATCCAAGAACTTACCATTAGGAATAAGTACCCTTACCTATTACTTACTACGGACATTTACTACAATACTTTATGGGAATGCCCGAAAGTCGAAAGTGAACCAAGAAGAGCTGAAGCAAGAAGAATCATGTGTCTATGACCTGATTACTGACCTACCACAACAATGTCCTTTCACTAAAGTGAAACACAAAAACCAACAGTGAGACATCTCCGGAATGGACAACTATTAGTCATTCCTAAGAAAAGCCTGACGATAGTTATTCAATGTGACAAGACAAATCATATGGAAATAATAACTAATCCAACGCTAGTTTCTTTTGAAAATTGCTTTGTGAAAATACAAAATCAAACATTTTCAAAAACCAACGAGAACTTCAATTTGGAACTGAAGATTCCAAAAATAGACATCTCTGAACTTCCAGAGAATGAAACAACATTGGAACTTCAATTAATCAACCAAGAAGACTTAGAAGAAGCCTTCAAGACGACGAAACAGATAAGAGTTCACAATCTAAAAGAATTGTCTTTTGAACACTCTTATTTGAACACATATGTAATCATAGGTTTAAGTCTTACTGTTTTATTTATAATTTTATTATTTAACTGTTTTGTGAAGTTTAAGACTTCAGAAAAAGGTTGTGCAAATGTGCAAATTGAATTGTCTGATTTGAATTCACAACCATCCACGTGTGCAACATCTTAAGAAGGGAGGAGTTATATTAACCAATTGCCATGCTGATTTATAATCAAATATCCACTTTTTATATGCTTTAATGTGCTTACCACTTTCCTTTATGACGTTTTAAATACATTGTTGTAAAGTAAACATCAAATTGCTATATCGGCAATAAATTCCTATTTAAGCCAACGCAGTCCCATAAGGAACGTTCATTTGTTTTCAGGCTTTTGCTGTAGCAATTTGATCCACATATTTTCTTTTGTGACCTCTGTATTTTAATCAATAAAATAAATGTTTTTTAAAATACAAGTTTCTGAATCGAAAATATAATTAGCTGTATGAACTAATAAATAATTTTAAAAAAAATATAGATATTTACGTCATAAGTCCAGAAAATAGACTTTTACGGTATCACCTCATCCGGAATTTTGAAACAAATAGGTACCTACCTACTGTGCAAGTTTTCCCGGACGAATAATACTCACTTAGTATTTATGTAAACTTTCAATTTGAAATTTCCGTCCGAAAATTTTACCAAACCCAGTAATAGAAAAGTTCATTTTCCAGACTAAAACTAAGTACGTAAAGGTGTGTTTTACGATACAGTATAAAATAAGAACTGTTTCCGTACCACATATTCAAACGTCATAAAATGGCGCCAGTGTGTGACGTACACTTCTGTACCGACCAATAAGAATCGCAACATAAGATCTTATTGTTTGTTTTGATTTTTGATTGGTGTAGAAACTGACGTCATATTCGGCGAGTGTTATACATTCTAACTCAAACGTAGAAACTTTTGATAGATTACTAGATTTAAAAAAAAAAAACACTAAATCTCTCCATTGCTTTTCATACTTCTAATTTATTGACTTAAAAAATAAAATCTTTATTTTCCTTTACCAAACAACATTAGATACACCATTAAATTATTAAGTCTAATTTTAATTTACTTGTTTATTAAAGGGAATATCATAATGACAGTATTCCAATGTAGGTAATATTTGAACAGAAAAAGCAAATATATGAATTTCAATCGCTCGTTTTATGATGAATGTTTATGGTTTCTCCGCGTCACTGATGTTGTCTATAATTAGAGCAATTATCATTTAAAAAGAAATTTGCGATAAAGTAATGGTTAGTGGAAAACCAAGATAGATGAAATTTATTGTTGCGTTTGTCGGAAAATGGTTTAGCAATGCTTTATTGTCATTGTGATATGTGACCAAATCAACGATAATATTTTTAACTGTTATGTTGGAGTGTTGAGGCATTGAAAACTAGAATCTTCAAGGGTGACTTTACAAAGACTGTAATGGTGAAATAGTGAAACATCCAATATATGATCGATAAGTCTTCCAAGAAAACTGCAAAGAACACACCTTGTAATAATTAAAAAAAAAAAAAACTTTTCTCTGAAGAAAAGGCGAACTGATCAAAACTTTACCAGAATGTTATTCAACTGAGATAAAAGTAAGGAAGAAGAACTTTCCATACAACTAGGTAGATGAATACAAAATTTTATTTTTGGTTTAAATGAACTTTCAAATTTGGTTCTATTTTAAATAAACCTAAATTCTAAATCTCTAATAATATGAAGAGTGATGCTTAAGTCCATGAAAAATACACTCAAGTAACAGTAAGAACTAGATTCTTTAGATAAAGGTAGAGAAAATTTTAGGAAGCAAGGTTCCATTAATCATCAGACAGACATAGATTCTTCATATCCTTATATTTTTGTATAAATCTGAACATAAACCGTTCCAAAAGTGAAAACCCTCATAATAGAAATTAGGATAATAAGTTCTAAGTCACTTACCTTTCATCTATAAATCATCACCATCACTATGTAATAATAAACTCTCACCAAAAATCTCACTGATACCGATCTCTTATAGGACGGTTAGTTAACCAACTTTTTATCTAATCTTTACCTGCAATGATGCTACAAACTAATTAATTATAGTCAATAAAGTCACCCTAATGTTTGAATATTTAGTCATCCAGAGAGAAATCATTACCTAATCAATAATTTGTACTTGTTAAAATGTTAGAAAATCGACGAGCGAGTTTTCTGTTGAGATGATATGCAGGGAAATACTGGTTATATTAATAGGCATCTATTGTTTGGTACTTTTGTAGTTGGTACCTGATTTTTTAATTATTGATATTATTGTGTTTTGATTAATTGGTGTTTGAAATTATAGCGAAGATTATACTTAATAGGTACATAATATGACTCACCTATTTTTCCCTAAAGTTTTAATTTCTTTTCATACCTATATTTATTATCATAAGTTATAATTAATTTGTTATTTGAAATTTTAAAACATTAGCAATCGTTTTCAGTTTGTTGATGAAAAAAAAATACGCTTTTATAACCTATTGCAGAGGAATTACTTCATTTAGGTACTTATGTGATACTCTGTATTCGTTTTATATAATGTGTTATGACTTTGTATGTAATTCAGATGTTTTATTTATTAAACATCCTCTATGACGCAATTAGTGTTTTACCTCTCATCAGTAATTTCAGAAGGTTGACAGGTTAGTTCACGTGGTACTGGTACTGGTACCAAAATAAAGGACAAAAGGAAGTATGCAACATATGATCCTGTAACAGGTTGCGCAAGTAGGTACTCTATTATTTAGTTAGATGATAAATGGCTTGCGGTCTTATTGATGGTGTTTATTGCCTTGGGGTAGCTACAAATATTGTCCGTTGTTTTTATTCTGACACTTTCCGTATGAAGAGCGAGAGGGTGAAGCTTATGGCAATAACAGATATGACGTCAAATGACCATTGGCTTTCTAACGTAGGGAATCACCAGCTGTAAAACTATGGAGGAGGTCTATTTGCAAATGAGACAAACAACTTCAGTAAGGTTTTCATACATAAACTTTTATTGCATAAAATTGACATAACATTTTCAAATAAATCTAAAATTCCAAAAATCTGCTCTTTACAGCAACCTCAACTGTTCTCAACCCCTTAGTAAATCAAATCTATCTTCCCTAACCAATCCTAGTCATCCTAATTCAACAAACTTATTTAGTTTTTGTTCCCAAATTTATCAAAGATATTCACTTGATTCGTGTAATTAGACAGAGACGGAGCAATAATATTCGTTGATTAACATCCTTCCAATGCTTCTAATTTATAAATCTCAAAACCCTTCTTAGATTGAGATACAATATTATCCAAAATCTTCAACCAAAAATAAGGTATTTAGCTGGATAGAACAATTTCATTTATAGACCGTTTACACATTACACAGAGTCCAAAACATTATATTCAATTTGTAAAGCAAATGTCCTTGACTGGTGAATCCCTCAAATAATATTATTCAAAAGAAACTTCGGCGATGCAAGAGGGGGACGCACCCACAAAACATCCCCCCTTAGAAATGTAAGTCTTATGAGAGACGTCAGTCTAGTCGTTTCAGCTTTCCCCTCCAATCACTAGAGGCGCTTCAATCAACCTATTAAAGTTTTCTTTTTCCTGCCGGACCGTGCGCCAAGATTTGAAGTTTATTTTGTCATTTCCAGTCGTCAAAATTTAAATTTTGAACTTCTCCCAACATTTAGAATTATCAATTACCTATCAATTATCAATAATTATTATCTCAAAATGTCTTCTCCCAGTTTGTGCATCAGAAATGCTATGTTCCGGGGTGCGGCGACAAATACAGCAGCTATTTCCGGTTTCCAAAAGATGTCGAAAAAATGAAACAATGGCTAGAAAAAGTTCGCAATCCTTTACTAAATAGCCTAAGTGTCGAGAAGGCTTATAATAATTATAGAGTGTGAACAAGACATTTTCCTCGAGAATTTATTGTTGGCGATCCAAAAGCCAGACGAGGACTCACATGGAATGCTGCGCTTTTGCTGTATCTCCCTGAAGGTAAGTTAATACTAGATATATGTGAGAAAGACGTACAACCAGGCCCTTCATGTCGTCAATTTTTATCTACTGAAACTTCTGCAATTCGGGCAGACATTGCTACACCAAGTGGAACCATCACATCTGCAAACATGAAAAAGTCACCAACCAACTTTGTCTCTTAAAACTTTTATTGGTAGGTACCTAAGTGTTATTGCTTAATGAATAACCACCCAGTTGGGAGTAGGTGAATTTTAAAACATCCTAACTCAAGTAGGACTACTACTATAAAAGACTACTAATTACTAAAACTTGCAGTCGAATGCTAGAAAAATTAGAAGCTAAATGTGCGAAAAGCTCGTCTCCAATCTTGATCTATTTTTTTTTTTGCAGGTCATGAGAGAAGGTGCCAAATTTTAAAGAACATTAACGTCACTAGGCAAAAAATTCCTATCCCCAAGGGAAAAATATCTTTATTCCAAAGTTATAGAATCCAGCAATAAGTTAAGAAGAATCAGTAGAAGGTTGTCGTCATTTAAATCCAAAGTTTCTGCTGCTGAATAACTTGCATCATAAACCAAATTTCAAAGGCTCGTAGACCACGTCAATCCATTGATATACAGCTTTATTTTAAGCCAAGTCCGTACTCAAAACCAAAAGCCTAAAGCTAGACGATTTACATTGGACGAGAAGTTGTTGGCGTTGTCTTTGCTTAAAGCTAGTGGTAAAGGGTATAGACTATTATCAAAAATATTTATTCTATCATCCAGGCGAAATCATTTTCTTGAATGAGCTTTATATTATGTATAACTACATAAACTTTCTACCTAACACATGCGGAAAGTGTATTTTCTGGACTTAAAGGCTTGTCCGAACTCTGCTTTTTGTTGTCATTCGTGCAACTTCCATCACGTGCAGAAACACTTTCCTCACTTGTTAGGTTAACAACGATTTTGGATTGGGAGAAAAGGACCTCTTTTGTCATTTTATTTACGATTTAAGTTTTTCATCAAGCTATTGTTAAATGTACGTCATTACTTCTTGTAACTGTCCTTATTATCTTTAACTTAACTAGCATTAGGTACCTACCTATGTATGTATACTTACATGAAAAAAAACTGTTTCGCAATAATTGTAATTAATTCCATATTCTTTAATATTTTCTGTTTCAAACTTTAATAAATATCTAAATTTGTCATCTTAATTTTTAGTCAATTTTACCTTGAAGGCGCTTCAACACTACCGATTTTATGTATTTCTTCTTTTTGGCACAATTATTTTATGCCAAAAAATGGTAGAAACTTTAAAGTGGTGGTGTTGAATCACTAGAATCAAACAATGGTGGAAACGATCAACCGGAACGAATAAGATACCGAACGAACCCTAACTGCGTTTTGCATTCGCCAATAAATCCAGAATTACAAAAGCTTACCCCCCCAGTCACTAGAGGCGCTGAAAACTTATAGACAGGTTCTCAACACGGCACTTACCTTTCTAAGGGGGGATGTTTTGTGGACGCACCCGACCCAAATGCCTAGAGCCTTTTTCATATCTCTAGATACAAAATAAATTTAATGCGCAGTTATTGCATAGATTTGGCTGTGTTTGGACTGCAGTTTACGTCCAAATTTCTCATTTTCGCCTAATAAAGGCCTAAATAGTTTTTTTCCTACTTTGAGTAGTACCAAAGTTTACGTAGTACTACATATAGAACTTTCTACAACAGCTGAGAGTGGTTTAGCAGTTTCTACGAACTCTCTTCTTTTCGTCGTCCCCTCACACATAGTGAGTAAAAGATATTTAATAATATTCCTTTTGATATCGCCTATACCGTCATACACGTTGTGTTTTAAGTATACTGTAATACTGTGTAGTGCAAATTTAGTGTATTTACCTAAGTTTCTCAGTTGCGCTGAGATTAATATTAAAAACCGTTTAAGAGAATAAAGATTGTGTTTAAACTTAAAATAAAACGATTTTCACGTGTTTTTATTTTTTTCCAATACAGTAATACAGTCGTGTGTAATACACATTAAATAGTCAACTTCATTCCGAACCCTTCAGGAACTCGTAATTATATTGGGCAATAGTCAGGATATTCCCCTAATTATACTATTAGCAAAAATATTCCATGGGTACTCATTTCAATTAAAGTCAATGAAATTGCAATAATGTTCCATAGTAATTTCACTTTACTTCATTTACAGCGTCACTGCAATAAATGGTAAAGTACCTACTCATGTAGGTATAAATTTCCTATATATGTACTTACAATTTTCCCTTACTTTTACTGAAAGATTCTAATATTTCAATTTCTTTTGACTATTTATAGCACGCACATAATTTTAGATTAACCGTTTTTTTAATTTTCTTTCAAATTTCTTGACGCAACTGTCAACTGAAAATACTTTTCGCGATTTCTTCACTTCCTCGAAATCCCACGTACAAAAATCGATTTTGAGCGGGAATTAAATTTTGTCTGAGGCGTTGTGACAAACATCGCGAATTTTATCTTCACTGGACAGATGGCCGTTTACTGTTCGACTTTCGACTCTAGACTATCTCTTTGGCTGTCCTCTCTACTTTGATTGTTTAAATACTTTCAGTCCCCCCTGGAATTCTGATTTGGATACGTTGACGAACATTCCCCACCAGCTATTTCTGAAAAGTGTTATTAAGTTGAACCGAGGATGTCGCAATTTTCTCAATTGTTTCCGTTCACCAAGGGCATCAAGACGTCTCACCTTGACTTCTAACGCTGATACGCTGGTCAGAATTATCAGAAACCAAATTGATTTCGTGCTGATAAATAAATTGCATCAAATCTGCAAAGACTTACCCTGGCGCAGATATAAATTCGGATCAGAATTCGCTTGTACCGAATATCCAGTAGACACTAAAAAGATGTACACCTAGAACGGACAGCCCAAGACTGGATCTGACAATATTAAATGACTAATCAAGTCTAGCCAAAGTTAAAGACGAATTAGATAATAAAATTAAACGTGATAAACAGGGCAGAGAATCAAGAATCAA